TCAGATTTTTTAAGTATTGAATCAGTTAGTAAATAGCTTTGTCAAGGGCGGCCAAGATCAATGATTACAACCGAAGACCATTTCTATCGTTATCAGGCTGAAGTATATCCATGAAATAACTACAAGAGAGTTCGTTTAAGTTTCGTAGGTTTCCCATCTACTGCTATTTCTCGAAAGTTTATCGAGGTTTGACTAGAGAGAAAACCAACAGCTTTATTTCTAGACTATTGTTAAAAGTTTCTCAAAGGTTCATCTTCCAAAGTGACGTGTTTAGTTGACGTCGTTGTAATGTTCGATGCAGCCGAGTGGAATGGGGCAATCTATTGCATACTGACAAGTCCAGATGTAGTGTTTTAACTTGGAGGAAGCGAGGAACATGAAAATTTCTTAATCTTGTTCATGAAAGAACGCCTTTCCACTGAAACGTTTTCATGATTTTGGATGAAATCATCAAACATCATTGCATCGTGCTGCATATTTTTGACAGAGATTCTGCAACCGGTCAAAGATATGTAGATGAGGTCTTGGAACCCCATGTAAGTGGTACAGTAATACTTTTGGCCCAGATATTTTACTGATGAATGACAATGCTCGCCTACATCAAGCATAAGAACAATTGGAACCAAAATGCTGTTCCGTTTCTACGGGTTCGTGGATTTGAGATGATTGACAACAACACTTGATGAAGAATCAAAACGCTATTTATTATCCAGTATTACTCAGGACAGCTTCAAAAACACGTTTACAGTTGTCGAAAAACTATAACAAGCACGCTGAAACAATCAGCAACACAGCCACCAAGTCTATAATGGTAAAGACAGCTTCACGGCGAAGCACTAGAAAACAGCTTCCTATCTCTCGGAACTCAGCGCACTCTCGACACTCTCCACGCTACAACTCACGATGCACTCGACGATACACCCACGATAGACCTGACGATGGCACTAACTCGCGAGACACTGCTACTCCGCGTACAGGTAAGCTTTATATAGCTTTTGCCCTGCCTTCAAGGACATTTTAGGCCAAACCGGTAAGAATTTGCTCTAGAACGTTCTCCATCTGTCTATGGCATATCGCCAAATGGGCAATTTCACGCCAAATCTGGCAACCCTGCCACTCTTCGCCATTTTCTGGCAGCCCTAAATCCTCTTTGCGGAGAAGCTATCTTACCGCAGCTGGGCATTTCGCAACAATACGTTAAAGCATGTGCAGGATGAATGGGCCACCGAATTCCAGCGCGTCAAATGCATTCCCAGGCCCTCCTGAATCTGGAAAACTCACTGTTAGAAAATGGCATGCATTTCGAGGATGCTTGTACAATAGTTCACTAAATTCTATGAAATGGAGATGCGGGGATGTATCTCAGATGACAGTACAGCAAATTAGAGATTTTATTGTAAAATGAAAGAGGTTTGATATAGATTAATAGTATAGGTTGTAGGAAAGCATGGATTAATTTCAATCATTTTTAAATTTCCAAACGTTTGATTTTAAATTCAATATTTTGAAATTTATCAATTCACAAACATGATAATTTAGATTAAGTAAAGCCTTTATATAATGCTTTTTAACAATTTTCAGTAAATAAAAGCTACGTTTTAGTTTTACTCCTGTCGATATCCTTTCATTTTGAGGAGCAGTGTAAGTTCGTGGACACTTGAAAAACAAGGAACTTTTTGCTTAGTGTCGGACAGAGACTTTAGCTGACACGAGACAAAATTTTATTAAAAATAGCGAATACAAGGACCCAAATAATAATAAATGTATTGTAGAAACATTAGGTATTTTGGAAGCAGGAGATGTGAAAAATGAGCAACGCCTTCGCCGGGAATCGAACCACATGTAAGGTATTTCTCCCACCTTCCTAGCGTGCCTTCGTGGTGTAGTGGTTCTGCACGCTGGGCCAGTATTCCAGAGGTCCAAGGTTCGATTCCCGGTGAAGGCGATTGCCCATTTTTCATCTTGCTTGCTTCCAAAAAATCCTAATGTCTCTACAGTGGCGCCGGAACTAAAAAGGTTGTTGGATGATGATTCTCCTCACCCAAGATTTGGCGATTGAGTCCTCTAAAACCCCAGTCATCCTTTAAAAGGGGGAGTATATAAGGTATTTCTCCCACCTTTTTGGCATGCCTTCGTGGTGTGATCAAAAAATCCTAATGTCTCTACACACGGACCTCTGGAGTAAGCGCCCAGCGTGCAGACCACTACACCGGGAAGGCACGCTAAGAAGGCGGGAGAAATACCTTATAGTATAATAGAAGAATTTCTGGTTGAATAACAAAATGTATGAAATGTGAATAATCATTATCATTAATCAGCTTTAAATTTTTTTTCAGATTTTTATTTCACAAAACTGATCGATGATATTTTCAGAATTTTTATATTCAAGAGTATCTTTTTGTCCTGCTGAATTTCTTTGATAATTTTAACTCGTATTTAAACACAGAATGTTTTGTCTCTCTTGTTGCATTATTTACAGACTATTGATTTAATTAAGATAATTCTTGGCAACATTTCAATATTAAGGAAAGAAGATGCAATATTGCTATTTTTTATGAAGTTGTAAGTAGGTCATCGTGTCTTTCTTCGACATCAATATATTTGAAGTAAACTTTTTTTTATTTCATTTGCATAACATGATAAATTTTGGAATTCTACTATCGATCAAGTTTTTAAAAAAATTGCCAAATTGGACAAATGGCCCGAAGAATGGCCCCAACATTGGACAACTGTGCGCTTAACGAGCGACTAAGTCGAACTAATAATTAGGCCCACCAGCGGCCGAGCGGTAAAGTCGCTGAACACTGGTAGTTCGGTCCGAGGTTCGAATCCCGCGAACGGGCTGGCTGCATGGGTGTTTTCGTGGTTTTCCCCATGTGTAACGTGTATACGAGCCAGTTTCCCTTAGAAAGTCCTCCACGAAAGGCATCCCTCCCCTTAGGCAGATAGCCCTAGTGTGCTTTGCCGTAATTAAAATACACATACACACGAACTAATAATTCGACCTTGTTTGAATTCTAAACGAACCGCCTGGCTGCTTAGGAGTTTTCATTGTTTTTTCCCACGTGTAATGGGAATACGAGTCAGTTTCCTTTTGAAATTTCTTCAGGAAGACATCTCTCCCCTTAGGCAGGTGGATAACCTTCAAGGGCTTTATTATTATCAAAACTAAACCAAAGCGATAAATCTTTTAAAAAAAATGCTTGATATATTTGATTAATTTTTAATACTCTCTGTGCTTAGTTAAACATTTTTTACAAATACAATAGTACAGAACTTTTGTTTTATATTAAAACCTGCTTTCGCAATTAAATCAATGTTTTCATCTATTCCATTTTCATCAAAAACTCGTTCTTCCATTTGTAGGTCTCTACTGAGTAACAGCGTAAAATCTGATGTTTAAAAATGTTGATTTCTTATTTTCAATTTTGTTATATTTATCTCCTAAGTCATATATGAACAGTGATAAATTTTGTAGCAAAATTATAAAGGACATTAAGTTATTACTAGGATCTTACATGGATCTACATTCATGCTTGCCACTATTTCGTTGTCTGTTTTCTAATTATAAGATCTTTCATGCTGGAAACTAAAATATAATAGCCACATATATAACAGTGTCGGAGATTTTTCAAACACTGTGTTGATCTAGATTTCCTTCGCCTTCTTTTTATTCAATTAAAGATGCGATGACATTTCTCCTATGTTTCTGCAAAGCATTTTAACAATTCATTTTCATTTTTGTTGTCTTCTTTCTCTTTTATTTATTGTTCTTTATTTTAGCTTTCTTTTCTACAGATACATAGCTAAAGTATACTGCACAATAATGTAGTGCGTATTACCGAATTAAAGGGCATTGCTTAATCAATTATTATGATGATATTTATTTATATTATTTAGAAATAATGACATAAATATCTATATTATTAGCCCAAAGGGGCGGAGCCCAGAAGGGCTATTAGTCTCAAAATAGCATTTTGTGGCGTCTCACTCTAAACGGCGAATCCCTTTTTAAATTGTTGCCACCAAATATGATCGCCCTTTATTATACTTAAAGAAAATAAATAATAAAGAATTTGCATGCATGTATGTATGTTTTTCGCAATGTGAAAGAACGACGGTGCATAGAACCATCAAATTTTGAATAATGTAATCCTCCACCCGAACATGGGCACCTAGAAGCCCGAATTTCGAATTTGTTTTATTATCTATTTCATATCTTGTAAAACGATTTCTTTATTAACAGATTCAATGATCTCAAAGCGAGCAATCTCAACAAAGTACGGGAAAAAACAGTTTTATCTCCAGCGCGCGAGTTTTTCTATCGGAAATTCTAAAGGTATGCTGTTTTTAAATATTTTATAATAGTGTGGTTGAATTGAATTTTATGTCGTTTAAGTGCGGAGAACATGATATTTAATAAATAAAGGTAATACACAAAACGTTTAAAAAACGCTACTTTGAGCGTAATATAAAATACTTCTTTTAAAAAAATTATTATTTAAATATTTTTTAACTTTATCATTAGTGATTCGTAGATATTTCCTTCACTGAAAGCGGGCGCTTTGAAAGCACTGCCTAAATATTTAAGCTGTTCGTCTGTTCTTTAATTTGGGACTATGATTATCATGTTCAGTCGCCTATGAAAACTTTAAAAGTTTTGATCCGGATCAGTTTGATTACTTTCATTTTCTTTGCAAAACACAGGATATTTTAAAAAACACTGTCCCCCCCTCACTACAAGAAAAATTTAGAATAACTACTCACTGTCTGTACCACAAATTTATTGTGTTATAAATTCCCTTTTGCTCAAAAGTGGCTGAGTGCTTAAATCTGACGAATGCAGGAAGTTACAGGTTCGAATCCCGGTGAACGAGTTAGTCGCATTTGCATTTTGCAACAAATAGCGCTCATGTATTTGCCTTAATCGAATGAATATGTTAAATGTGTTCTTTGCTTAGAAATACAGTGTCCAATTGAATTTTAAGAAATACAGATAATTGTAATAACTACTTTCAATTTATTTTTTAATTATCTTTTTATACAACATCGTTTTCTGATAATGAGACGTTATTTCATAACTCAGATTTCATTTATATACACAATTTATTGCAATGAATTAAAAAATTTATCGCAAAATACATACATTTAACAAAATATTTAGCTTTTATACATATACATGTTGCTTATGTATTCTTAGTAATTACTCATAACAATATATAACGCTATTATGACACAGTAGTATGTTCCAAAACTGATGGCGGTAAAATTTGATTTCAAAGTAAAATTCCTAGTTCGATATTTTCAGGTATTTTCATTTTTCCTCTGTTGTGTAGAGTCAGATCTCTGATCAAATTAAATTAACCAACAATGATTCACACCTTTGCGCTTAGGTCTAAGCTCGCCCCTAAGCCCACCTCCAAGGATGCACCTACGCCCACCCCCACGGATGCACCTACGCCCACGTGTGCACCAACGCCTACATCAGCATCGAGTATGGAGCTGTCACTGGTAGCATGGATATGAATTCCTGTTACACCAGCGATACCCAGGAGGCTAGCTTCGATGTCAAAGCTGGAGAAAGAAGAGGAGGAAGAAGATGATGAAGAAGAAGAACCAATGTCGATTTCAATGCCATTCGCATCCAGAAGTCTGAAGCCAATGCTGTCGCTGCTACTATCGCTGAAGCTGAAGCTGTCTGTTACATCTACAAGGCTATCGCTACTGCTGGATGAGCTGCTGGAAGAGCTGCTAGAACTAAAATGGAAAACAAACAGAAAAGATCGATTCAAAATGAGGGTACTGTGTTATTTACAGAATTTCTTATATATTAAGAGTGTATTAATCAAAATGCAATCTAATTTACTGAAAACCATACCTGATACAAATTTATTTACTAAATAAAAGTTGTTTAGATTTTGCCTCTCTTGTATAACTTTTGTTCTTAACTTTTAAATTTGAGTTACGGAAGAAATATATAAAAGACGAAAATCTATATATATATTTTACATGTATATATACAAAAGGTGTTCACACATTTTTGTAACGATTTTCAGTCTGATTTTTCAGATTATAGGCTACACCTGTAAACTAACATCAAGTTATAGCTTTGTAACCTAAAACATCCAATCAAAAAACTGATTGTTTACTAATAAGAAACTTATATATTCATACACATTAACTAACAAAAACTGAAAGCAAAGGTTATCAGATGTTTCTCTCACTTTCCTAGCGTGCCTTCGTGCTGTAGTGGTCAGCATACGGAGAGCCGGTATTCCAGAGGTCCGCGGTTCGATTTCCGACGAAGGCAGTTGCATATTTTTCATCTTTCCTGCTTCCAATTAACTTAATGACTCTACAAGTGGCGCCCGAACTAAAAGGGTAGTGGATGATGATTCTCCGCACCCAGAATTTGGCGAATAGGTCCCCTAAAACCCTAGTCGCCCTTTAAAAAGGGGGAGTATATAAGGTATTTCCACACTTTCCTAGCGTGCCTTCGTCCTGCAGTGGTTCTACACCCTGCGCCGGTATTCCAGAGGTCCATGGTTCGATTCTCGGCGAAGGCGATTGCTAATTTTTCATCTCTCGGGCTTTTCTAATTAATTAATGTCTCTACAGTGGCGCCTCATCCAACACTAAAAGGTGTTGGATGAGGTTTCTCCACACCCAGGATTTGGCGATTGGGTCCCCTGAAAACTGCAGTCGCCCTTTAAAAAGGGGAGTATATAAAGTATTTCTCCCACTTTCCTAGAGTGCCTTCGTGGTGTAGTGGTTCTGCACGCTGGGCCGGTATTCCAGAGGTCCGTGGTTCGATTCTCGGCGAAGGCGGCTGCTATTTTTCATCTTTCCTGCTTCCAAAAATATACCTAATGTCTCTACAAGATGATGGTATGTAGATTGTTAGCATTTCTTATTTCGAGAGGACATGACTACAGAAAGAAATATAAAATCTCTTCATAAATTAATGAAAAATTCTGAAGCTATATTTTATGCATCTAACATTACAACCTGCTTTAAAATGTCCATTTTGCTTTGATGGTTCAATATAAATGTTTTAAAAAATAAGTTTGGGCTTTTTTTATATTTTTACCCATGCTTTTCATGCCAGAATGTAAACGAGATAGCGAGAGTTTATTCAGATTAAGGTAGAATGAAGTGCTATTTAAGTGAGAGTTCGGAAGATCGTCTTTAGAGCCAGTCTGTCTATTCCAGGCCACGTTTTGCTGCAATTATTAGCGACTTGCGTAAGTGGGGTTGATGTGTTCTCGCCTTTAAGCTTGTCTCGCCGGTTACTACAGACTGGAGCTCTTCCTGCGCGTTAAATTATTCTGTGAGCCGTTAGGCTAACCTAACCACACCTTGAAATTATTATATGTTACGTATTTCAGTTAAGCCAGAAGTGTTGGCTTCCTGTAATCCAAGTTGGGTCATTTGTCAATTTTCTGCTTTGATGAAAGGGTCTTATACAACCTTCTTCTGATCTCTGTTTAGTTTCACAAGTCTAGAAGATAATTCTTCAAGAGTCCTTTTTAGAGGTTTATCTTCCCAAAGAGACATAGACTTTATTGGTTTTAACAACAAAAATTGAGTAAGTTATGCAAAATGAGAAGTTAACATTCTGCTTCGAGAAAGTTCTTCAGGGTAAGCTCTTCGTCAAGGGTTAGGACCATTTTAAAAGCAATGCAAATTAACTTTTACTGCACATAGCTGCTTTTTTTTCGCACTCCTTTTGTGAGTTTCCCTGCTTCTGTAAAACTATGTTTCAATAACTTTGAAGTTTACAGTTCCAGTTGCTGCACCGCTTTTATTAAGCTATCTTAAGCGCTGGACACCAATTGTGGTAAGTGTTCAAAGGATGATAATCTTAGTTCCTTTGTGAAAGGGTGTATTTCCATTCACTGAGCGATCACGAAATATCTCATGAACTATACACCAGTTGTATTTTTCCCATGCCAGACAATAATATCGATTTCACGTTACCAGTTTGTCAGAATGTTTGAAACTACCCTCATAATTTGAAGACTCAATAGGGTTTTTTTGGGGGGGAAGCAGGAGATGTGAAAAATTTTCAGTGATTCGAACTGCGTACTTCCGATTACGCGTTCGATGTGCTACCAGTTACACTACGGAGGGAAGTGGAAAGGTGGGAAAAATACTTTATAACTTGTTTAAGTATGGTTAAAAAATAAAAAATTATTATTAGACCCAGGAATGACCTAGGAAGCATCGCTATTAAATAAAAAAATAAATGAAAATCTTCTTCAACTTAAGTTTGAAAACGAAACTGCTTGAATTACCTGCTGCTGAGACTGAGGTCAACGTCAACATCAACATCAAGCTCTGCATCAAGTCCTAGACCAACATCCGCATCAACACCGATGTCCAGATCAATACCCAAGATGCTCAAGTGGTTTTCGTCATAGTCAAATGGACATATCAAGTTATAGTCATCGGAATGGCGATCTCCGTCAAGATGTCTGTCACCATGTCTGCGATAATCGGCCTCATATCTATGACGGAAATAGTTCTCTGACACAACCATTGATCGAACGATGTCGTCAATCTTGCTAACCCCTGACGGGAGAGAAAATAAAATTTTTCATTGTTTTACTAATTCTTTTTAAGTTTTATTAAAACATGATATATCGCAACGAAAATTAAATTTTCGACCTCTTTGACAATAAACATTTTCCAACAGAAATAGAACAAAATATTTTAAAGAATATGCATGCTCAATATTTAAATCGATATTAACAATTTTAGTACCGAAAGGCTCCATAATATTTGTGTTCTTAGTTTATAAATCCATAATACAAATTTTTAAATGTGTTTTTAATATCAAACATTCTAAAACGAACATTCTTAATTCTTAAATGGATACTACCAGTTCTTATTTAATGTTTTAAATATTTTCCGATATTAAGAACTTGCTTCAATATTTTAATAAAAAATAATTATTAAAATTACTAATATTGCTGATAAAAAGGGAATAAAATTTAAAAATAAAAGAAAAAAGCAGAAAAAGAAGAGAAGAAAACAGTAGCATATGAGAAAACAGCTAGGAAAGTTTCATCCACGTCACGTCTTCAACTTAATTTTCGTTGTGAGCTTCGACACATGAAGAACAACATAGTGAGATTTATTTCATTTAGTGATCATGAATCTGATGAACCAGTAATGTTTTTATAAATGAGAGCTTCATCATTGTTGTAGAAATATGTAATCCAAAATAAACTGTGCTACAGAGACAAATTGTATTATTGACAATATTGGGAGAGAAATGAAATGCACAAATGGATATGCAATTCCCAAAACAAAATGCAATATATTTACTCGATAACTGCAGTAAAAAATATAATGACCTTTTAGTAAAAGAAAACAATGTTTTTCATATAATAATAATAAGGAGTAAAAATCGTCTACTAGCATATATTTTTATTAAAAATTAGTTATCAAACTAAAATTATAAATTAAATTAAAACGCACTCCGTTTTGTTAGTAGTGGTTATAAAATATTTTGTTTTACACTTACCCGACATCGAAAATACAACACCAAGAAGGAATGGCCCGAAAATTATGCAGATTTCAGGATTATACGCTGGAGGATAACGACCGTTGGATCTCCACAACACCGTTTACTCCTGATCTTTTACAAATCGAATCTGTCACGATTGGACGCCATTTTGCAGACCGTGCTATTGCCGCGTGCAGAAGACGAACTGTGGCAAATGGTTAACAAGGAATGGGGAGCCATTCTTCAAGACACCATCCGTAGTCTTAGTGACTCTGTACCAACATGTACCCCCCCCGGGGTACAAAGCAGGCAGATCTATATCTTGTGCTGCGTACTATGGGGGAAAAGCATTTTGAGCTTGGCGGTTCCAGAAACCGAGCGAAGGTCGTCTATACGGCCGGACCAAGGGCGATTGCAGAAGTCCCCGAACTGGGGGACCTGGTAGCGTCACTGGTAGTCAGTCTACGAATTCCAGGTAACGACCCTCGGTGACGGGCAGCCGCGTAGTACTGGCAGGGGCACATCAACGGCCAGTCAGATCGCCAAATTGACATCGGTGTCTGTTGAGGTCCTCCCCCCGGAGTGCTCTCCGAGTCACGAGGTGTGTAAGCATCCGGTGGCCCGGTTCAGCCCCGGACGATTTGAGAGAGTTCCTATAAAAGTCTGCGCAGGGATTTGAGAGAGTTCCTATAAAAGTTTGCGCAGTGATCTGAGGCACCCCGGCGTAGCAAAAGTATTAGATTAATCCTCTAAGAGGCCATGGCAGACATATCCGGCCCTCCCGCCTAATAAGGAGGTTGATTGCGGGTGTCTACCCTAGTTGCATTAAGTTGCAGGAAGGGCGTGCTAAAATTGACTTGACTTGTACCGAAATGTGTTGCTTTATGCATCCAAGGTGTCCAAGGTGTTATCCGTCCAAGGTGATCCTACATTCTATGAGCCGACGCTGTTCTCGCTCTGCATTATGTACATCATTTCGAAATAAAGATCACCTATTGTTATTATTAAAGCAGTAAAAAGTAAAGGTCGCTTTTCTCTAACTCTCCTGGAGCCTCTCACAAAAGAAAATACAATGTATCCCAAAAAAAGTACATAAAACTTTTAGTAGTTTAGATTAACTTAACTTTCTATGCTTTCATATTTAACAAATTTGAAGTAATAGATTAGATTAGACTAAGCTTTGAACAAAGAAAATGTGTCTTATAGTGCTACGGGAAGTTTGATAAAGTAGTTAAAGTACAGCTTAAGATCGAACTACACGACTCAGATAAATCCATATAGTTGACTTAACATCAGACTGATGGAGGTAAATTTAAAATACTTGGAACTGTTCAAAAAATTCACAAAAATACGCTTTCAGCAAAGTGAGTAAAGCTGATGGAAATATTTCGACTTGAAGAAATTTTGTAAGGCAAGCAGGATTTAAGATATAAATCTCAAAATCACTTTAAATCCCTATTATTGTAAAAATTACACTCCAAAAAAATCCTTGCTTTCAATGAAAACGATCTTGATCAAAAAGTGCAACTCTGCAAAAGATGCTTGGTAAAATTTACAAAAAATGCTCAATTTCCAAGAAAGATTGTTTGGAGTGCTAAGGCTACATTTAACAATAGACATTAACAAAACAAAATTTCTGTATATTTTGGAAAAGAAAAATACGAAATTTTAAAAATAAACACGGACGGATGTATTTTGGAACACTCTGGAGATTAACTGCAGCATGAAGTACTCTCAGTTACTCACATTTACATTCAGTATCTATAAATTACTTCTGTGTTTCATTTTCAGTACAACTTTCAATAAATTAAGTGAATATTCAACACTTTTCTATAAATCAGGCTTTATGACATGCGGAATAATGCACGGCTGTGTTCTTATACAGATAAATGCAATTAATCATTCTGAGTATATTTAAGGTACGCCAGGCTATGATTTTGATAGTTTTATCGTGTTAGATGAATTTTCCGCTTAACGATATTTTAAACTTATGGAAGATTTACTAGAACATAACCCTGCCGCTATTTGGGGAACATTTACAAAAGGCAAGATAGAAAAACCACTCTTTCTCTCCTAGTATATACTATAATTTTGCTGTTAATATATTAGCAGACGATAAAATTTAAAATATATGTCTTTACACACACACCAAAAAAAAAAAAAAAAATGCAGTTTTCATTTTTGTTGTAACTGTTAAAGTCGCGTAGGTCTAAAAGTACGCCTTGAATAATAAGAACTTGGCACTTAAAATAGACAAAATATATTAACGGAAATAAACTTGGACATTAAACTCGATATTTAAAACAAATTAAATAATTAATTAAATAAACTTGACATTTAAAAGTTTTAAACGTTCGGCAACAGGTGGTTTAAAACTAACTAAAATGTCATATCTAATTTTTTTTAAAAGAAAAAAATTATCCGAAGTTCTTAAATATTAAACATCTAAGCTTCACGAGTTATGAAAAAGTAAAGTTAAAATTAAAAAGTATTGTCGTATGAAAATAATATAAAATCAGTCTTACCCATTAAAGCCATTGTACGATCGAATTCTTTTCTGAGAATCTGAATAACTTGCTGTACTCCACATCTACCCTGTAAAACATACATAACTGCATTTATTGATTTATTTATTTATTAGATATTTACGTATTATACCGTCAACTTGCCAAGTAGCGGTATTTAGGGCCGATTGTAGATGACCCTGTGCCAAGGAGCGATGCCTTCGAGGAGGATTTTCTAACGGAAGCTGGCTCTTATATATGTTACACATGGGGAAAAACACGAAAACGCCCATGCAGCACGCCCGTTCGCCTGGATCCGAACCCAGGTCGGAACTCCCACTGTTCAGCGACTTTACCGCTCGGCCGCCGGTGAGCACTTTCAGAAAGAGACAGTTTTGAGAATTATATCCCTTCATGTCGCAGCATTATGAATTTGAGCGAACTAGGAAACTGTCTTTCTATTCCGTTTATTTAATTTGCTTTTATTTTTTAGGATAGGATCTTCAACTACATAAAATCAAAATTCATTTACTATGGCTCACGTTTTTGTGCCTTTCATAAAGAATGGCTCAAACATATGTTTTTGCAATTTATTCGCAAAAACTTTTACTAAATATTTAAGAAATAGCTTCCGGTTTCCTTCAATATATAACGTTGTTTACCTATTTCAAAATTTACGTGTTGTAAAACAAATTGTCGAAATGTTCCTAAAATAAAATAATTACAAAAAGTATTTAAATTGATTTTGGACACTCGAAATTTTACTCATAATTTTCTTCCAAGTTCTATGGGTCATTTTTTTAAACTTAAAATGAAAATATATTACAATAATTATTGTTCGTAGTTTGAAACTAGCAAGTAGTTCTCTAGCAAGATACTTAGTTTCAAATTTGAAGTGAATGTACCGAGGAGATAAGAAAATTTAATTATACCGATATAAATTCAATTACACATTTTAAAAGTAGCTAAAATGTCAGCAGTGTGCTGGTTATCTTAGGTCAATTTTAAATTCAATTTATGCTTGCGTTTTTATTTTGCTGGTTTATGCGGAAGTTTTAAGAAATATGAATTTTTTAATATTTAAGTAGATATACATATGAAATTTTTGAATAAAGAACTCTCATTTCTCGGAAATATGTTTATAAAAATATATATTTTAATATAATATGCAAATTTGTATACGTTAAAATTTAAACCTTTTTTCAAAAATTTATTAAAAATTATGTAAAATTTGAATTTTTGAAATAAATTAATTAAATCGTTTTAACTTTCTTATAAACTGTGCAAACGAAAGCAAGAAAGTTTAATTAAAAAAGCGATATTATCAAATTCAACTAACGTTAGAGAAGTAAAATTCAGAGGTTTACTTTCGAATAATCTACTGCTCGATTTTTACAAAACTTGGTATTTTGGCATAATCTGAGTACCAAATATGTGAAAATTAGCAAGTCATTTCATATAGGGTATGATTTTGTATAAAAATGGGTGAGTTAGGAACAATGTTATGCATAAAGCTAATAGCACGTATCTTAGCTCCTGCTCTCAACACTAGTTATTGCAATTCTCCCCTCCCCCCCCCAACAGTCGATTTTTCTGTTTTTAAAAAAAAAAAAAAAAAAAAAAAAAAAAAAAAAAAAGGGCTTTTTTGCAAATCAAAGGTTTGCTGTAATTTTCCTCCGAACAAACCATTCCGGTTGCATTTACTCTCTTTATGGGTCTAGCCCACCAGCGTCCGAGCGGTAAAGTCGCTGAACACTGGTAGTTCGGTTCGAGGTTCGAATCCCGCTAACGAGCTGGCTGCATGGGTGTATTCGTGGCTTTCCCCATGTACAACGCATATACGAGCCAGTTTCCCTTAGAAAATCCTCCACGAATGCATCTCCTTAGGCAGATAGCCCTCGAGACTTTGCCGTAATTATATAAACCTAAACCTCCTCGTCACGGGTCTGTTTCACGTTTCGATATCCCTTTAGCCTATTTTAAACGTTTTTATTATTTTGAAATTCCGCCATCAAATAGTCATAAAATTATTATTATTATGTTTAAAATAACATATTTCTTAAATAATCATTTGTAAAAGTAAAAACAATTTAATTAGAAATCAGTTTAATTTCGTGCTAAAAAGAAATTCTCTTCCTGCCTCTTCGATCCTTGAATGGGTTTGATTTCGTTGTTATTTTTTCTCTCGCACTACCTGCTCTTCTACTAAATTAATTTTCTTGTTGTATTATTTTGATAATATTTTTGTTATACATGCAAAGGATCGATTTTTTATCTTTAGTAATCTGCGAACCATCTGAATAACGTTTCAAACTTTTTAATAGTAGGCAACTTGAATATCTGATTAAACATTTAATAAAATTTGAGTGAAGCCTAAATAATCTTTTGCAAAAGTAAGCCTTTTACTGAATCTAAACGTCTACACTAACTTAGATTCTTTGAATACAAGTTTTAATCACTGTTATTGTAGAAATTAAAGAAATCAAATGTTCGGTTAAAACATATCCCAAAATTTTCTAATTTCGCAAAAACACCCCTAAGAATTCGTTAAATACTTACACTCTGTAGCAGGCCCCAGGATACTGGTCTGCCTATAAAAACTGCGTCTGCTCCAATGGCTAGAGCCTTAAAGATATCAGTGCCCCAACGTATACCGCCATCTAAATAAATCTCTATATGATCAAAATCATGGTGATGGAGACCTTCCACAACTTCTGCAAGAGCTTCAATCTGAAAGCAGAGGGAGAGAGTTAGTATTAATTATACGTAATTTTACACTTATGCCATGATTTTTGTAACAGTGGCTTTTGGTTCATTGTAGCTGCCTTTTCGAACTAGGTTATAAAAGTGAATACTTTGGGGAAACTAGCCTTTTCCACGATCGGAGAATATTTTAATTTGTAATTATAGATGTTGTTCTTAAAATGTCATCCCTTGTACTATTATATTCTTTTATATTATGTTATAACAGAAATCATTCTATTCGGAAGTTTTCTACGATTTTAAATAATCTGGCATTGGTCAATTAGATTCAGTGAAACAGAATTTTAGTTATAACACACTCCCAAAGCACATTTCCAGATATATGATTTCTGCTGGAATATAAAACGCTAATTTATTAAAATTCTTACAGACGTTATTCAATAAAGATTTGGTGCCTACATGATTTTCTGCTTCTCTTTAGCACTGTACAATAATTTGCGTCATCAGCGTTACGCAAGCTTATAAAATTACAGCATATTAATGTATTATTTATTCCTCAGCTTTTATTGGTATCGGAATCAAAAAATTGCCCTTTGAGACCTTATTTTGGCCAACCTGGCTTTCGTAATCAAAGATCTTTTATACATTGTTACAAGGGTCAGAGGTCAATGTTATTATAGCGGTGTTTTTATTCTATCTCTTTGTTACATGAAAGTAATAATTTAACCTTACTTTAGTATTTTATACTAGTAGTAAATGTATTTATTTACATTTGACTGCCATCTTAAGAAACGACGTTTTCAACAATAAATTAATCCATTATTTTTAACGATATTTATTTTTTTAAAATTTCGTGTACTTTACTATGCGCAAAATACGTAAAAACTGCGTTTTTCAAGATGGCTGATGATTGTAAAAACCACGCCAACAATTGTGCAAACGTAAATCGCCAAAAATCCGTGCAACCGTCTACCAAAGTAACACCAGTTTAAGTATGCTAAATTTTTCCGATTGATAATACTCCCTCTAAACGCTTAACTTTACAAAGCAAGGTATTTGTGTATACTCACAGTAGCTGGAGTTTCGTCTAATCCATTTCCACCGTGATTTGAAACAATAATAGCATTGGCACCGTGTCGGACAGCTTCTCTGGCATCACAACCTTAGAAAAAATAAAAGAAGAATTAAACTATTTTTCTGCTTCTCTTCTGTCAGTGCTATGGCTATAAATTTAAGAAACTACGTAAATCATTAAACAGTCTTTAAAAGGGTGTTTTGATAAAGGAAACTTCAGAATCAGTGGAGTCTAATTAGCATATGTCACTATATGATATACTGAAAGGGAAAACTATCCAGAGAAAAAATCTGATATTTGCATTGCAAAGTCATTATATTTTTTGGAAGCAGGCAAGATGCAAAATATGTAATGCTTTCGCCAAGAATCGAACCACGGACCTCTCAATTAAGCGCTGAGCGTACAGATAGCTACACAACGAAGGCTCGCTAAGAAGGCGGGAGTAATACCTTATATACTCCTCCTTTTAAAGGGGGACTGGGGTTTTTTTAGAGGACACAATCGCAAAATCTTGGGTGAGGAGAATCATCATCCAACACCCTTTTAGTTCGGGCCCCACTGTAGAGACATTAGGTATTTTTTGGAACCAGGCAAGATGATGCAAATATGCAAACGCCTTTGCCGAGAATCGAACCACGGACCTCTCAATTACGCGCTGAGCGTGCAGACCGCTACACCACGAAGGCTCGCTAAGAAGGCGGGAGGAATACCTTATAACATAATGTTAGAAAACGTTCTGCGTCGTGTGTTTCACGGTGAACTGCAAAAGCATTTCATGTGTTTCAAGAAACCGTTACTTAAGTAAATACAACATAAAATGCAAGAAATTAAGTACTATAATGTATAAGAGGAGATTTAAATCAAATTCGCGTGTTTTATACACAAGCAAACAGTTTATAGAACAACGTTAAGGGAACCAAATATTTCTAATATAATCCCTACAGCGAATCATTCTCGGAGTTTCTATAATGCGCTTTATTTCTAGAAGGTCAATTCTTCATTATGTTCTAAAAATCAGTCATCGACAACATTCATGGCATCATTATCACAAGCAAAATGAAGATAAAACAGAAAACATTCCTTGAAGTATGATCTAGCTAATGTAACAATGTCTTAGGGTAACAAATGGTATCCTTTACCGGTTGGAATTGCCACTGCCTCGACAGAAGTCAGCGATAGTGCATTGCCATGGTGGCAAAGAATTCCCTTGACTAGCTTGCCTCTTCGCCTGTTCTTAATTTCTTTTCACAGTTTTTCTGTTGCTACATAATACTTTTTTTGTAATCAGTCATCGACAGCCCGTTGGGAAGATAAAAATAGAAGGCTGAAAAGACAACTTTGACTGATCACAACTGTGACTAGTCACAACTTTGACTGATGATGCTCACGCATCACAGTTTTGCTTCACAGGATTAGAGTTACTATATTTTCAGGTCATTCTGTCTTGCTTACTTTCCGGATCAAACGAACAGCATATGTTTTTTATCCCGTTGTTTCTATAGTTACGAGTAAACAAGGGCTGATCTGAATCTTGTTGAAATATTGTCAAGACTTACTCCAAAATCCTCAGGCGATCTGCTCTCTTTCCTTCTGTTAACATTTTTTACACCTCCTGGGCTGAGACACTTCGTCGTGATGTGTTTTCCTTTGATTCTGAGCTGCCGAAATGTCTGGTTTATGTGATTACGGCAAAGCCTAGAGGGCTCTCTGCCTAAGGGAAGGGATACCTTCGTGAAGGACTTTCTAAGGGAAAACTGGCTCGTATATACGTTACACATGAGGAAATCGCTCATGCGGCCAGCCCGTTCGCGGGATTCAAAACTCAGACCGAACTACCACTGTTCAGCGACTTTACCGCTCGGCCGCTGATGGGCTGAGCTGCTGAAAGAAAGTTACATAATCTATGCTTATATGTCTAGTAGTCATCGGCATCTGACATAAAAAACTTCTCCTCCTATTGGGCAAACAATTCCTGTGTGATAGATCTAAATGGACAATCGAAGTATGTCATCATTAGCCTAGTTAGTAACAGCGGAATAATCTGGGTAACTTATCTACTAATAATTCATAAAAATCCTTATGAATTTCAGAACATAGATATGCTGTCAAAGCACAGAATTCCGTTTGTATCCATTTCTGGACTTAGTGCTGATATGATTCTGACTTTGGCTAGGAAACGTTAGGCTGGAGATTGAAGTTTTTTATTAGTTATTATAAACAATAATTATATAATGTTGCCGAAACATTCCATCTAAATCGTCCATGCTTTGCTCTATTTTCTACAAAATTTTGTTAGTTCCTGTGTACAAACATATTTCTTCACTATTTGATGGTGGTTTTAACCAATGTTTTTAACCAAATACATGCTTTTTACTTCTATCCATTTCATTAACTTAGTTGTCAGTGGTTATCAGTTTCTAAACATCTCTCCTTTTTTTAAATAAAACATGGTTAGAATCATAAGGTTTGAAAAAAAATGGGGAGCGTGTGCAATGCCAATACCTTATATACTCCCCTTTTAAAGGGCGGTTAGGGATTAGAGGATCCAATCGCCAAGTCCTGGAGGTGATGAATTATCATCTACCACTTTACCACTTTTAGTTCGGGCGCCAAATGTAGAGTCATTAGGTTTCATTGATAGTGGAACTTGAAGATGAGCAATGCCCTCGCCAGGACTCGAACCCTGAAACTCTCGAATACGCATCGAGTATGCTTCCAATCACAGCGGAAAAGTATGTGGAAAGGAGGGAGAAAATACCTTATAAATGTTAAACACTTTGGAGCTTAGTTTTCTGTCTTTAAACTTGATTATTTTATTAAAATTTAAAGTTTTCAAACATTAAATAATGTTTAAAAATTTAAGTTTATGATTAAAACTTTTAAGTTTAGGATAAACAACATGAATCTTATTTCTTAAAAAAGAAAAACTGGATAATTTTTTTATTCGCTGTAGATCCATTAACTATTCTTTTAAATTTAGCACAATTTATTAAAATTTTTTGAACGCTTCCAATTAACCGAACTATCTCAGCATTGGTTAACAATTTCAGCTCCAATCTATTTCATGCAAAGGTTTCTCCAAGTCTCATGTTATAATTTCTATTCCTCCTATTCATACTTTTTTCAGTAGAAGGCACTACAGCTATTTATTTAGTTTAGTTATTAGTTTCAGTTATGTTTCACATGTTTCCCTCTTTCTATTTCTCGCCAATGGAGCAGAATGTTTTTGCTCTATACATATATAGAGGAAATTCTGCGTGTCTCTTTTAAATATATAGAGATTGACTAACATCAACCTAAGAGATTTCTCTTCATTCGAATCAATGTTTTGATTTAGAGCAGAGTTTCTTAAAATGTGGGTCGCGGGACTTGCAGTAGGGGGTCTCCAAAAGTTTCAGCAGTTTGGATATTTCTTTACTTATTATAATAATTTTACAATTACCAAATATTTTTACATAATGTACCTCAAAACAGATAAATATAAGACAATACAAACAAAGAAAAAATGAAACGTTTCGACGCATTTTGTAATAATAGAGACGTTTATTTTACTTTAAAACTTAAGTTAATGACGTAAAACTGCAATAGTATTGTTGCGTGCGTACGGTTCGTAATAGATTGAATGCCCTAGTCCGATAATAAGTTAACTAAATATGATATTCTGATATTTCAGTTCACGCTGAACTAAACAACTAGCAACAATAGTAACTAAGCAACTGAGAGCTGACTCTCTCTCTCTTAAATAGTTTTCAACCGGCCGGAGATATTTCTACTACTTTCTGCTTCTCAAAATTACTGGAAGGCAAAACAATAAGAGGATGGAATTACGGTTACAGCTGACATAGTGGTTAATTACATTTATTCAATTTCAATAAAAATTACAGAGTTAGCCATTTACTCAAAATTAAATGCACGTGCCCTTGTATTTTTACTTTTCTGGCATAGCTTTCTCTTAAAAATTTGTCTCGCGCTGCATTGCACTGGGAAATACAACACTTTTAGTTATAATTCTACTAAAATTACCTATCTAAATATAAAATTCGTAACAGTATATTACAATACAAGTGAAGGAAACTGACAGTTTCACTCACGCGTGTGTCGGATTAGCGCCGTGCTTATTGGGTTCCACAAAATTTTTGTAAATATTATGGGGTCCCCACACCAAAACGTTTAAGAAACCCTGCTTTAGAGGAAGGTTCTGCTGATGAAGAAGTATGAAGAAGCAGAAATCCGTCTTGCTTTTTCACTGAAATTATTTCTACGGGTAAAGAATCTGAAAATGTAAGGGATAGAAACGCAGAAATATAAATACAGACAGAGAACAACAGTTAATGCTGTAGAATAAACACATATTCTATTCTATGTACTAACACAAGAGAAGCCAGTAAAAGAGGAATGAAGAAGGAATTGGAAACGCGTATGAAACAGCATGAGAGGAAACGATGGAGCAACGTACACAAGCTGTTAAATAACTAAAATACACTGGTGTGCAAAAATTAAGAACGAAGGTCGAAAAATTAGCATATCAGCTGAACGAAGAGGCAGAGCGGACAGAAAGACCAATCAGGAAATTAAGTAAAGTGATATACGGTAGCACATGCGCAGATATGCAGGTAGACGTAATGGGGGAGTGTCTGAGTAGTATAAAGCATGTTGTCGGTGTAAGATCAGTATTTCTGGCAAAGAGATTGCACGCCGTATAGCAGTTAAAATCACACCGAGTTGCTGCCTCAGCGAGAAATGGCGAATAATCAATCTGTTAGACGACATCTGGATGCTTTTACCCGAGGTCGAATCATTGAGAAGTTGGAGGAAAGCCGCAGTGTGACAAGTGTGGCTGCAGAGTTCGGAATTGCTCACAGCATCGTTTCACGACTTTGGAGACAATTTTTTAAACTACAGGAACAGCTATCTGGGGGTTTAGTAGTGGTCGTCCACGAGGAACCACACCCGCAGATGACCGGTATATTGCCTTACAGGCCAGAAGAAACAGGCGGCAGACAGCGGGAGAAATCTCTAGACACACGACACAGGCACTGGACGACCGATATCGCGTTTTACCGTGGCCAGAAGACTGCACGGTGGTGGTCTGTTTGCACGACGCCCTGTACGGTGTGTACCTCTAACGCCTGCCCATCGGAGAAGGCGTTCTCTGTGGTGCCGGGAATACCGGAATTGGAGAGACAATGAATGAGGACGAGTACTCTTTACAGATGAGAGCAGATTCAGTCTGAGTAGCGATTCTCATCGCATACTCATCTGGAGAGAGCGGGGAAGCCGCAACCATCCCTCGAACATCATTGAAAGGGATAGGTATGGAGGTGGCGGTGTTCTCGTTTGGAGAGGCATCATGCTTGGTAGTCGTACAGACCTTCACATCTTCGACGCAGGTTTAGTCAACGGGACCCGTTATTGTAACGAGATTCTTCTTCCATATGTGCGTCTTTTTAGAGGCGCTATAGGTCCGCAGTTCCTTTTCATGGACGACAATGCACCATGTCATCGCACAGTAGCTGCCGAACAGCTCTTAGAGAGTGAGGATATTGAACGTATGGATTGGCCGGCACGATCTCAGGATCTCAATCCCATCGAGCATGTATGGGATTTTCTAGGCAGACGCTTGGCAGCTCGTACCTTACCACCAGTAACGATTCCGGAGCTTCGATTGAAGCTGCAAGACGAATGGGCAGCAATGCCTCAACAACTCATTGACACCCTCATTCTCAACATGGGCAGACGCTGTGGAACCTGCCTAGCAGTCAGGGGAGATCATATCCCCTATTAAAGATCGGATGTTTCTTGCTGGACACCCATCACAGGAATGTTTCGGCCTTCAGTCGCATTGCGCTCCATGCTACATTTTCAATACAGCTTCTTTTTATTCCTCTGATTTCTCTTTTAGTAAGTGTTGCTTACATTACTCATGTCCTTACTTATTGGAGATCTTACGGTATTAAATGTGTTGATTTGGAAAGCTTTTGTACAAAGTTATATTGAAAAAACCGTCTCGTCCTTAATTTTTGCACACCAGTGTAGCTTAATTCGAATTTAATGGCATCATATAATTTTTTCAGCGTTTACCATATTGCCTAAAAAAAATATCAGCATACCTTTCTAGAGTAGAAAATAATAGAATTAAGTAAAACCAAAATTTTATGGCGGTTTTATTATTTTTTTATTAAATCCTATTTTGAAATGCATATTCTACAGTATTCACCTAAAACCCACACAAAGTTCACTTCTCATGTGCATTTGTACAGGTTTACATGCCAGTTTTTGGTCATTACGAGTAACTTAGTGCTATAATCGGAAGTTCAATACACATATTTAGGTGTAAGGGCATTAGTATGTATGGCCAAAGAAAACTTTAAGTACACATACGTCACATATCAAGTAAATACACATCTAAAGAATTGTAGAGACATTAGGTATTTTTGGAAGCAGGCAGGATGAAAAATTGGCAATCACCTTCGCCGGGAATCGAACCACGGACCTCTGGAATACCGGCCCAGTGTGCAGAACCACTACACAACGAAGGCACGCTAGGAAGGCGGGAGAAATACCTTATAGAATATCTGCGAAACATTTTTTTCTAAAAAAGAGGTTTTAGGGAAAATGTTAAATTACGCTAAAAATAATAACAATATTGTTACGAAATGTCCAGCTGTGGTAAAATAGCTCCCCTCTGAAGGTCCACCTCGGCGTAGTGGAGGGGCGGCAACGTCCTCCGAAGGAAGAGCGACAGACGGGCCCGCCACCAGACTGTTGTTGGCTTCCCAACATGGGGGGGGGCTTGAGCAGTCTTGTTAGTACACGACTATATCTCAGAAAGCAGTGCCTGGTAGTGGGCGCTCTGGTCGGCCAGGCGATGCTCGTAATAAGGTCGTCTTATCAGATCAGGTTGAGGTGAGAGTCACATTCCGGTGATACCTCATCTAGGAGGTGAAGACCGTATATCCAAATTAATCTGGTAAGATAGCTTCCCCGCAAAGTGCGTTTAGGGTTACCAGAAAACAGCAAGAGAAGGCATTGTTGCCAGATTTGGCGTGAAATCGCCCATTTGGCGAAAAAATTGGCGATATTCCTTAGATGAATGGAGAACAGTCTGGAACGAATTCTTACCAGTTTGGCCCAGAGTGTTCTCGAAGGCAAGGCAAAAGTTATATAAACCCTGCCAATACGCAGAGTAGCAGTATATCGCGAGTTAGTGCATCGAGAGTGTGCATGGTTGAGCCTATCGAGTGTATCGCGAGTTATAGCGCGGAGAGTCTGGAGAGTACATTGAATTCCGAGAACGACCGAACCGAGTCGAGAGCTGTACTCTAATACTTTGCCGTGAAGCTGTCTTCACCTAATAGCCGCCGTTATAATCACCTTATAAATACCTTTACAGCCTAATAGGCTGTGTTACTGATTGCGTTTTTCGACGACTGTAAACCTGTTTTCCGAACTGTCCTGACTTATACTTTCAAATAAATTGTGTTTTGATTCTTCGTCGAGTGTTGTCGCCCATCACTCCAAATCCACGAACCCGTACAAACGCAACAATATAATAATTAATAATATAAGTAATATTAATATTTTAAAGATAATAACCGGATGTCATAAAAGCTACTGAGGGAGTATTTGGAAAAACTGTGACAAAATTATATACGTATGATACTTCAAACATATAAAAGTGATCTGGCCTCATTACATGAGCTCATACAGAGCACCAATCCGTTTTCGGAGTTAACATTGAATCGAGATACAACAAACAGCCTAAAATTACTGAGTATTAATTCGCGACCTGATTCTTAACACGCAAGATAACAACAGTATACACATAGAAGTCTACTATTCAAATCTGTGTTAATATGGTAACAGCTACTTACCAGTAAGAATGCCCTTGGCGATGACAGGCAAGTCGGTGGCATCTCTTATGTGCTTGAAATCTCCCCAGTCTTGATCACTATCGACTAAGTAATCAAAATATTCTTCAAACCTGTAGGAGCCAATACAGAAGCCCATTTTACGTTGATCTTTCCTGTCTTCTCCAATGTAGATGCCCGCGCCAAGGCCATGGTGCTTCTCTCTGACAATACCGCCCACTTCGAAGACAGCCTCGGCTCCAACAATGTTATTTTGGTTGATGTCTGTATATTCTCTAATCTTGACATCATCTTTTAACTCGTATTTGTGTATATCATGTTGTCCATTGAAGAAATGCTTCTCATGCCCATCAACTTCTGCATCTGCGGCCAGTCCGTAACCACTTACTGAGATGGATAAATCGAAATCTATGTTATCATCCTCGATATTAGGGACGCTACCAAAAAAGAGTTATATTTTAGTTTAGTCAATTGGTTTTAATGGTACAGCTACATAACTATTAGTCTCCTAATCAGTTTATAAAGCGACTTGATATAAAAACAGATATTCTGCTTTCCATCGTATACTGAATTTCTTTATTTCGTTAACATTTCTGCGGAAACATTCACAGACACATTTTTTTATATAACAAAAGTAAAATGCATATAGGTTCTACAACACTTAAGCTCCTTTAAGAATCTTTTGCTGTTGTTGGTGGTGTTTTAGCCCAAAATAGCTCATAGCCATTTTGCGTTTGTTCCCTATAAATGTCCGTTTCACTTTTCAAATTGTTGCCACCAATATTATCGCCGTGTATTACATTTAAAGAAATTAATTAATGAAGAATCTATATGAATGTATGTATGTTTTTCGCATTGTTAAAAAACAATGGTACCTACAGCAATCAAATTTTGAATAATGTAGTTCTCCACCCGAATATGGGCGCCTGGAAGCCTGAATTTGGAATTCATTTTATTGCCTATTTCTTGTTTTGTAAAACTTTAACGAATTTTTGATTAATAAACTCAGCGATTTCAAAGCGAGCGATGGCAACACTGTGTAGAGTTCCTCACTTTGTAAATGCTAAGTTACAGTTGAACGTGAAGAATCTTAAGAACTCATAAGCGAATAATCACTTGTGAAATCACTAATCGTGTGACAAGAAACAACAAGATGGAAGGGTAACTAACTCTTTATTATTCCAATAAGATTTAACAGAACTCCGTCTTAGAGTGTCCAATAAAAGCCGACACTTGGGCTTGAACTTAAAAGGCTAAGAAGTAAACTAAAATTAATCTAAACTAAAGAGATATAGCCGAAGCTATCAAGATTCTAACCGAGTTGGCGCCTTAACGCTAATTGACTGCGAAGCTATCAAGGGCCTAAAGTACGGCCGAGCGTAATAAAAGCTTACGAGAGAGTAGCCTAAAAAGCCGGACGCGTGCAGACAGAATACCTGGTAACTCTCTCCGTAAGACCGAAGAATTTCGCGGTTAAATACCGCTCTTCTTCATAATGTATTCAGACGTGATTCTAAAACCACGTTCTGGCCGGAAGTAGTAAGTTGAAGTTAAGAATCGACAGGAAAGGAACTTTAACATAAAAATTTAACTGTCAATAAAATTAACATAATTCTTACGGGCGGACGTGGCGGGACAGTTTTATTTCCAGCGCGCGAGACTTTCTATCAAAATTCTAAAGATATATTGTTTTTAAATACTTTTATCCCAATGATGCATAAGCTTACATGCTCTCGAAACGTGCATGGGTGAACTATTCGTGAACTATTCGAGGGAGACCCAATCCGCCTTGTCCCAGCGGGACCATATGATTAAAAATACGTCAACCCTCCTCCAAACCACGCTGAGAAAACATCACAGAAAACATAAAATAACCAACCAAAAATAAAGAAGAGTTATTAGAAAAACTAAAGATAAGAAAATGACACAAAACACAAACAAACACTTACGCAATCAAACAATCACAGACAAAAACACTCACAGAGAGGCAGTTTCTGTCACATAATAAAACTCGCTTCAAACCATAAAACGACATAAATACTCGTAACTAAGCACCTCAAAGGTCCATTGGGGAATTCCCAAAAGGAAAAGAACCTGCAGAAGGTCACACCAAGGCCGCACGTAATAAGATGTTCTATAGTTAAAAATGCAATAGAAAATAATTATAATCTGACAGAAATATTAATTTTAACTTTGCTACTTAAAGCCCCGGTTAGAGCAGAACAAAATAACTACATCAACAAGTAAAATAAAATACAAGTAAAATAAAATACAACTACCACAAAGTAAAATAAAATCCTCAGCTCACAAATGATTGTTGAATTGATTAAAATTATCTTAAAAACATATAAAAAATAATTTAAAAGCCTATAATTCATTAAAATATATAGACTATGATCTAAGATGCTATTACAGAGTGCCCTAAACTGTAAATATGTGCGTAAACATATGTTTAAATTTTAAAAAACAGACACAATACACATAAAATTACCGCACATGAATAATACATAAAGGAAAAAATTAGACAAAATAATTGAAATATTTAAAGACATAATTTAAACTAATAACCAAATGTCACTCTATTATTGTTTATAAAAGACATTGCATATCTAGAGAATCTTTTTAAGTTTTCAATACCTAATGGTTTATCACTAAAAGCATTCGATTCTCAAATCTTTAACAAAGGACAGTGATTGAGGAAATGCTCGGCGTTCCCCAACTACATGACAAGCGCCATATAATCTGAATTTTGCAAAACAAACATAGAGAGTACGCGGGGAAACGGCCATGTCCCAGTCAAGAACTGATTCAGATTTATATCGCTAATCGGCTTCATTTCGTTTTTAATTTTAATATGCTGCAATAAAACCCGCGAAGCTCTCAGTTCTTTCCATTGTAATGTCCAGATATTCAAATAAAAAAATTTTTCATATTTCTAATAGCATAGCTTTTCGAACCGGACGTCTCAAAGAATTCAACTCCTTCATCATAAATGGCTTGTTTTGCCAGCACGTCGGCTCTTTCATTTCCGGTAAAATCAACATGGACCTTTACCCAATGTAAATAAACATCCATGCGTTGTTTCAACAATTTTAACAAGCACTTAATTTCAAAAATTAGAACATTGGCTGTACGGGCCCAGGACAGAGACTGCAGCATAGACATACAATCAGAGTAAATATGTACAGTATTTACACACGTCAAATTACTCTTAATCCATTGTAAAGCCTTAATGAGCGCACAACATTCTGCTTGAAAAACAGAATTGTAACTATTCAATCTGTACATTTTATTTACAATTTCGACACCAAAAAAGTAAATTACGAAAGCTGCACCAAATTGACCGTCCTGTCTCGACCCGTCAGTGTATTTCTCCTATTACAGGAAGAACACAATCAAAGCAAAAGGTACAATACTCTGAGGGATGTACAAAATCTGTAAAAAATCTCACAAACATATGTTTTGTAATTAAAACGTCATTATAAAGTTTAAATTCCATTCTCTGAGTTTTAAAATAAAAATTCTCATAATAAATTTATACATAATAGAAAGAGGCGACGTGCCGGCGAGAACACAGAGCACCTCAGTCAACACTGTGCAAAGCATCTTGTGATTGCTAGGCACCAACTCCGTTGTACTGAGTCAAGTTTACTCCTTAAGTCTGATCAACGTTCCCCGTTCTGGATCCCCAAGCCACCAAGCACCATGGGATATTCTTTTGGTACTATACACATTGTTGAGTATGTCCTTCAAAACCTGAGCTTTGCTGGATAGAGGGTATCTCCGGAGAACGATCGTTTATAATACATTAGTATATCAATCAGAACCTTGGTGAACAGGTTCGGAAGTGGATCTACAAAAGTCAAGTTTACAAGTCTAGTAGTAACTTCAAGATATTTAATAACATCTGTGAATTTGATTCTTCTCGCCATGATATTCTAAATTCGCGGTGCCCGCACCTTCCTTCCGCCCTGCGGAAACAAAATCGCAGAAGTTCTTGGCTATATTAAAATCCAATTCCCTCACTCGATCCTCCAGTCTTCCAGCAGTTTCATAACATCTTGAAAACAAACACTCAAGCTTTTCCAAAGAATCTTCCTTCATTAAAGATCTGCTAAAGTCATCTGCGTAACCAATAAACTTTACATTCATTGGGAAATTCTAAAATCAGAACTTTGTTCAATATAATATTCCAGAGCAAGGGAAGCACTGCAGGAACCCTTGCGGACATCCCTTATGAATATGTAATTCAATCTGCGCATCTTCACTTTAGAAGGTGTTGTAAATGATTTTTCGATTACTGAAATAACTCATATAACTTTGAACCAAATTTTTGGGGCCTTTAGCCCGATCAAAGTTTGTAAGATTGAAGTCCAGTGTATAAAGTCAAAGGCCGACGAAACGTCCAGAGACAGCAAAACCGCATGGTGAGAATTTTTGTAGCGCTTAATGAATTCTAAGGTATCATAAAGAGCGTCCTCTGTTGAACGTCCTACAGAAAAACCATATTGCCGCTGACTAAGCAACTTCTGACTGTTTAAATAAAATCTCAGTCGCTCTATCAGTATCTTTTCATAAACTTTACCGAAGACACTGAGTAAGACAATTGGTCTATACCTATTATTTTGTTTGGGAATCAAAATGACACGTCCGAGTTTCCAATTTCTTGGGAATAAATGAAATTTTAAGCAATGGTTAAAAAGTGAAGTAAAAACATCGAGAAAAGTATAAATGAAAGTCTGTACAAATATTGGATTAAAATGGTCAGGACCTGGAGCACTTCTGCGCCTCAATTGATCAGTAGCATTTTTAATCTCCACTTGAGTAATAGCAACATCACTTTCAGAGCATACTGCCAGGTCTTCATCATTAAGATAAATCTCTCTGGCACACCTAATTGAGAACCTGTGTAACTGTCTGTCTGTTAAGTTCAACTAAATCATCAGTTTGTTGGGGATTATTAAGGTACCAGTTCTTTAATTTTTTGGAAGCAGTCCTATAAAAGCCATCATAATAATGTATATTGTTAACGAAAAACTTCTTTTTAGTCTCAAACTTAGTCTTTCTTATCAGACGTTTATAGACGGCTAGTTCTTTCTTGTAAATAAATTTTCTTTTAGTTCTAATATTATCCATCAAACCTGGTACCTGTGAACGTTTTCTCATAGCTCGAATTCGTCGACGCATAAGGGCAAGTTGAGGAGTCCCCCAAGATATTTCTGAACGTCCAGTCTGTCTGGCACGCAGTTTCCTACTGGCATCCATAGATAATTCTTTGAAGAATTTAACAATACAGTTCTCTAAGTCATTAGAAGAGCAACATTTAAACAAATCAAATTTAAATTCTTGCATTTTAGGACCCAGTTCCTTACAGTATCTCATAATTCGATGAACATCTTTTGTTAAAACTGCCCTAGGAGTGCAGTGAGTGTTAAAATCATAAGATAGTCGGAGATATCGATGATCGCTTAAGCTTTCCTCTATTAATACCTCAAAAGCCTCAGGGTCAAAAGGCAAGCCTGGTGAGACGATTATCAAGTCTGTCCAGCCCTCACCAATACTAGATTTAAAAGTCGCAAGAGAACTAAAATCATTTAATAAAATCAAGTTGTTAGATAATATAAAATCAAAAACCAATCGTCCAAGGGCGTCAATGCTCTTTGCACCCCAACTTGGGTGTTTAGAATTGAAATCACCAGTAATGATAAATTCGTCATATTTTCGGATAATCATTTCGAGTTGTGAAAGATATCCCTCTATGTCCTCGGCCAATTATCATGGTAAAATAAATTAATAAAAAAACTCGAAAACATATATATACAAACAAGTAACAAAATAATACAATAAAACTAGGAACCCAACCACAAACATACAATAAGAAAGCTATATTTCACAATCAATATACAAATGATCTCTTAGAAAATTCAATTCACTAAGTAAACAAGGACAATTTTTGTCCATTGCGTGATGGCCAATATCAAAATTAGTTTTAAAATTCTCATTTGAATACGTGCAATTAATGCATCTCAACTCTTTACTCTTACAATCTTTACTTAAGTGTTCCCCAGTGCATCTTGAAAAACAAATCTCAACTTGACAATTCCTCTTAGAGTGGCTAAATAACACCTGGTACACTGTCTAGGTCTCAGAAAAAGTTTCAAATCATAATACCTCCAACCGCGATTAATACAATTTTGACTCTAAGTATTCTCTCTGACATAATCCACTTACAATGAAAACTGTGTGCGAAATACTTTGATTTTTCGATGGTAAATTAAATACAGGTTTAACACAATTCCCTGAACATGAGCAGTTTTTTTAAAGAGTCTCCAATTCTGCGTTCAAAGTATTGCCATCAACATTATAAATAATTACTCGAGGTCTAATAAAACGTTTTCGTCTAGTGACCAGGTTTCTCTGTAGAATCTCATCGCTAGCGATTGCATCCTCCAATTTCTTCACCTCTTCTCTATCACCTAATTTTAACCTTAGTTCTTCTCGTTCTCCAACTGAGGATTTCTTGATCCTAATACCAATCTCTTCTGGCTTGAATTTTTTACAAATCTCATCATATGCATTTACATCAGGAGCAACAGGCTTAATCATAATTTCGTCCAATCCCTTGGCTGCAACTTTAGCATAAGTGGGAGGGCCGTCGCCGCGCAATTTCTGTAATTCAAGAGTCATATCACTTCTCATCCGTGTAATCTCTTCCTTAATAGCAGTTAACTCATTAGTATTTCCACAAGCACCAGAACAAACTGCTTGAGAACTCTTTTTATCATTAAAGCCACTAGCAAATGTCAAGATCTTATTCAAGCCATACGTTAGTTTATCAGTTAATGTGCAACCAATTTTACGTTGAGCTTTAATCTTGTCTGCAACTTTGTGTAAACTATTTACAATTAGTACTTTATCACTTTTTTCCTCCTCAGGAGTATTTATTTCATCCTCCACTCTTTCTCCGGTATTAGGCATTTTACTTTTAAATAAACACTAAGTGGCCGGGTTCCAAGATTGAAAGTTTAAAACAGCATAAAAACAATAAAATACAATACAAAAATAATATTCAAATTCACCAGTTAAAATAGAAGAATCTGCCTACTCTAAAATTACATGTATAAACGAACACAATTATTTACCAACAACAATTTACATAAAATACATCCAAAATTCCTCTCTACTTATTTTACAAAATTCCAGGTAGCACTGATGGAATCCTAATTTAAACCAAAATTCTCTCTGATTTCATAAAAATGAACAAACAATTAAATTCTCAAACACAGTACTATTTAACAAAATTCACTCGAATACAATAAACAAGACAATGCTATTTAAAATCAGTTAACAATAATCTGTAAAATCAATGTATTCTCAAATCTATAAGTACTTATAAGAAAACGTTTAAGTTTCTAAATATGCCCAAAAACACATCAATTCTTTATAAAATCCATATAAAAACCAAAATATGCCAAACACATAATTACTCTTCAAAATTCACTTAAATCTCGAGAATTCTGCACAAATCAATAAATCGTAAGCGGGCATAAAACATACAAAACCGGTGCACCAATTATCGGGCAGTCATTCCAAGCGAGAGGAACAAAATATCAAATAATAGTAATTTTCAATTGACTGAAAGTTGTAATGCCCTTGGTGCAAAACAGAAAGTCTTCAATTGTAAACAAACGGCGGCCACACTAGGCCTAACCGCCTATTCGAAAAGTAAAATGCTCATAAAGTGAAAAAAAATACGCCATGCATTTCAATAAAATTCAGTATACAAAGGTGTAATGAATCCAAATATATCGACAAAAGTACTTTGCACAGTCTATTTAAGTAGAAAAAGCATAATCTTACAATTCGTATGCTAATGACCTCCGGATAAGACTTGAAACTTTTATATGCTTATATCTTCATTCATATGCACCGGAATTAAATAAAAAGCACCACTACGGAAACCGGAACATCTAAGGCATCATAAATATCATTTTCACATTCACAAAATCAAAATACACCGTATATAGACGATTTTTCGAAGAGCTCCTTGGCATGGCACGTGCATGGGTATGAACGAAAAAAAATGCCCCTTAGGGCGTAATATATTTCAGAAGGGCCGTTATATATATATATATATATATATATATATATATATTTGTCAAAAAAGCATTTAAAGCGATAGACTATAATCGCGTGAAATAAGCAACAAGCTGCTTCAACTTGAATATAAACTTCGTCATTCCAAAGATAAATATTAAGTGTTGTTTTAATATAAAATAAAGGTACATTGTTTTAAAACATACTCAGAGCAAATGTATGAGGAAGAAAAATACCACCATTTAGATTTAAAGTACCGATTTTATAAATTTCTGTACTGTATATAAAATGTGATTCATAATTGTAAAATAAACTTTTTAATTCCTAATTATAAAAAGTATGTGTTAACCTAAGATTTAATCTTAATTCTATTATTTACTTGTATTATTTATTACTAAAAACTATTTGAAAAGTCCTTAAATATATTATTAAAATGGATCTGTATGATTTATTGAGTACTCACTGAGTACAGATAAAAAAGATTCTGCATAAATTATGAAGATTTCATTTGTTATTTATGAAAAACGGCATTTTTATTTAAAATCAAATTTTAAATAAGATTTATAATTTACATGTAAGTATATTTAATTATTTTTATTCTTAAGTAAATAGTATCACAGAAAATAATTAGAAGCACGAAATGTTCTGTAAAAAGTATAGATCTGATACTGGATTTTAATTTTTAAAAGATGGTATAGAAGTTATAAATTGGTTTGATTCTACAGAGTTGTAAAAACATCTTGATGATCAAGTAGGAAGGAATCTCGAATTTTTTTAGAAATACATCCTTCTTTGTAATTTACGTCAAAGGCAATATTGAAAAAAAAATTTCTTTAGAAACTTCGCAGAAATTCCAAGCATTAACTTGCAATGAATTTTGGAACTCCTTCGCACTTCTTTCATATCATATTATAATTACATATATCTCTTATAATCAAACCCATAGTCGTTAAATGTGGAAAACCTTCTGCCCTGTGAGCATGCCTTTCCTAACAATAGCCGTTTTTTCTCTGTTCTCAATCTAATGTGAAATTACAGTACTTTAAAGGTTTAAAGAAATAGATAATTCTTATTTTATTGAACCAATTTTTCTAGTAGGTCACCAAATAAAATCTTCAAAATTATTTTACATTATTCAGAATTTTCATTCAGATGAAAGAAACCAATCTAAACAAATGCATAAAATTGTACTGATGTTTATTTCTATTTAACCTACACCGATTCTTTTCAGTTTTCCATATTCGACAATGATCCGTTTTAAAATTTAAGTTGTAACGTCTACGTCTCTTCGGTAACATAGTCTTTAAAGACTATTGAAGAATTATCTTCTAGGCTTGTGAAACAAAACAGAAATCAGAAGAAAGGTGTATAAGACCCTTTTATTCAAGCATAAAATAAACAAATGATACAACTTGGTTTATAATAAGCCAAGCACTTCTGACTTAATACGTAACAAGGTGTGGTAGATTAGCCTAACGGCTCACAAAAAAACTTTAATGCGCAGGAATGGTTTTGGTTTATAGTAAACCGGTGAAACAAAGCTGAATGGCTAGAACACTCAACGCCGCTAACGCAAGTCGCTAATAATCAGAGCACAACGTGGCCTGAAATAGACAGATATGCTCTAAATATAACTTCCGAAACTCTTGTTTAAATAGTGCTTCTTTCTATCTTAATCTAGATAAACTCTCGCCTATCTCATGAAAAATCTGAATAAACTCTGGCTATCCTTATTTCTGGCATGAAAAGCGTGGGTAAAAAGAGGGTAATAAGAAAGTCTTTTAACTTAAAAAAACTATTGCTAAAAAATAAATAGCTAAACCTCACGCAGTTACAGTGTGTTCTGATGCAGACTACCGTCTACTAAATCAAACTTCAATTTTGAGGTCTTCCTGTAAGCGTAAATTCATAAGGTCCTTTAAAAAATGTTACATATTACTTACTACAATCTGGAAATTTAATTTAATGTAATTTAACTTACTGTAGGTATTCTGGCAACACCATGTGATTCCTATTAGTTTCAATAATATTTCCATAAACTGGAGCGTCAACTGTAACGACAATTGCATTGTAGCCAGTCTTGTCAGCGCGTCGCACAATGTTGTCTGTAATCCTTCTATCCCTGAAGACGTAAGTCTCCATATAAAGAATGGTATCATCAGCAACGAAGCGAATTTCTTCCAACAGTCGTGTTCGAAAAAGCACTCACGATCATAGGGACGCCCTCACATGCAGCAGCTGGAAAAAAGTACAGAATTAACATTCTTATTGGAAGAAAAACAAATTGAAAAATACATGACTTAGAAATGTACGGCCATGAACAAAAATAAATTAACAAAATAGAAAAAAAATTAAACTCTTAAAGGATCTGGGTATATGACTAAATGTTATTCTGAGGTTTGGGGTACCAGCTGATAACATAATACCTAGGCTTGTCGAACAATAGTTAACATCAAATTTAATTATTAGCAAAATAATGCACAAATTTGAATCATAAAATTCAAACTTATTAAGCCAGATAAAAGCAAAAACCTGAACAGTAAAGGATTGATTGCCATGCTTTCCAGCTTGAAGTATCAGTGCCCATAATCTTGTTGACCTGATATGACGGTAAATGCAGTCAAAGCTGCCATTTACTTAAGCGAATACGCAAAACGTAGGTGGAAATACAGAGTGTCCGTAAACTCATAGTACACTTTTGACCTGTCACAGAAAAGCAAGAACACAAGATAGAAATGTGAAATCTTCACCAAATAAAAGGAAAACTCTCCGTAGCTGCGCAGTAGCCGATGAGCCATTAGACTTCTATTTGCGAGGTTATATGAAGCAATATGTGTGCAGTTGAACGTATCGACGACATTAATAATTTAAAACAGAGAATCACAGATCTTAATCACTCTGTTACACCAGACGTTCTTAAGCTCGTGTGGGAAGAACTTGAATATCGTTAAGATGTGTGTATGGCAACAAATGGATGCCACATCTAACTAAATGCATGCGCAAACTCACCATGAGTTTGCGGTATTGTAGTTATCGGATTTGGGGTATGAGAAAAGAGAAAAGCTACTGATATCTAAGGATCTACAGGCAATACTGGAGATGCATTTCTCCAGCAGATTTATGAGTGATCCCATTAAGAAAAATTTTTTTTTCCAATGGCGGGCATGTGACTATAACGAAACTGGCCATTCCTAAAGCCAGAAGGGGTGGCACTTATTATGCGGCCATCATTACCTCCTATGAAGGAACAAACAATTTGACATCCATGCCTTCTCCGGAATTCGAACTCGGACTTTCGGTATCGCAATCAGACTCCCTTAACAACTATATCGTCTGGACGGCCCGTTAAGAACATACTCGCTGATGAAATAAAAAAATCTGATGTGTACACCACATGACTTCCTTGTACGAAATATTAAATTATACGCCTTTTTTCTTGCATTTCATTTAAACTTATTGGATTGAATTAAATCTACTTCACCGACAGCGCATAAACCACAATAGAATAAATGCATTCTTTAAAATTCACTCTAATATTTGCTTACCATAGCGACACTCTGGGGCTAAATTCACTTAACAGTATTATATTTCGTTTATATTATAACTCATAATACACAAAATTTATATCATTTAAAGAATGGAATTATCTAATCGTTGCCACGTGTTCTATTCAAATACTATAATAAAGCTAGAATGATGTATAAAAGAAATTAAGCAAACAAAACAAAAAAAAAAAAAGAAAAAGAAACAGTTTTTCACAGACAATTGAGTATTTCTCCTTCAATTAATTCAGTTCTCATTTCGCGAGAAGGCAAAAATACATAAAAACTCAAATATCTATATTAAAAATTACGAAGTAAATCTTAAACACTAATTTCCTCGAAAAAATTCCGGAAACGATTAAGCATGATTTAATTGGCAATAATAAATGAAGGCGTTATCTTTGTTGTTGCGAAGCTAAGTTCCTCTAGATTGGCAACAAATCCACTAGTCTGCTGTTTCAAATATAAACAATCAATGGCCGCCATAAAAAAAAAAAAAAAATCTGATGTGTACACCACATGACTTCCTTGTATGGAATATTAAATTATACGCCTTTTTTCTTGCATTTCATTTAAACTTATTGGATTGAATTAAATCTACTTCACCGACAGCGCATAAACCACAATAGAATAAATGCATTCTTTAAAATTCACTCTAATATTTGTTTACCATAGCGACACTCTGGGGCTAAATTCACTTAACAGTATTATATTTCGTTTATATTATAACTCATAATACACAAAATTTATATCATTTAAAGAATGGAATTATCTAATCGTTGCCACGTGTTCTATTCAAATACTATAATAAAGCTAGAATGATGTATAAAAGAAATTAAGCAAACAAAACAAAACAAAAAAAAAAAAAAAAAAAGAAACAGTTTTTCACAGACAATTGAGTATTTCTCCTTCAATTAATTCAGTTCTCATTTCGCGAGAAGGCAAAAATACATAAAAACTCAAAATATCTATATTAAAAATTACGAAGTAAATCTTAAACACTAATTTCCTCGAAAAAATTCCGGAAACGATTAAGCATGATTTAATTGGCAATAATAAATGAAGGCGTTATCTTTGTTGTTGCGAAGCTAAGTTCCTCTAGATTGGCAACAAATCCACTAGTCTGCTGTTTCAAATATAAACAATCAATGGCCGCCATAAAAAAAAAAAAAAAATCTGATGTGTACACCACATGACTTCCTTGTATGGAATATTAAATTATACGCCTTTTTCTTGCATTTCATTTAAACTTATTGGATTGAATTAATCTACTTCACCGACAGCGCATAAACCACAATAGAATAAATGCATTCTTTAAAATTCACTCTAATATTTGTTTACCATAGCGACACTCTGGGGCTAAATTCACTTAACAGTATTTATATTTCGTTATATTATAACTCATAATACACAAAATTTATATCATTTAAAGAATGGAATTATCTAATCGTTGCCACGTGTTCTATTCAAATACTATAATAAAGCTAGAATGATGTATAAAAGAAATTAAGCAAGCAAAACAAAAAAAAAAAAAAAAAAAAAGAAACAGTTTTTCACAGACAATTGAGTATTTCTCCTTCAATTAATTCAGTTCTCATTTCGCGAGAAGGCAAAAATACATAAAAACTCAAAATATCTATATTAAAAATTACGAAGTAAATCTTAAACACTAATTTCCTCGAAAAAATTCCGGAAACGATTAAGCATGATTTAATTGGCAATAATAAATGAAGGCGTTATCTTTGTTGTTGCGAAGCTAAGTTCCTCTAGATTGGCAACAAATCCACTAGTCTGCTGTTTCAAATATAAACAATCAATGGCCGCCATAAAAAAAAAAAAAAAAAATCTGATGTGTACACCACATGACTTCCTTGTACGAAATATTAAATTATACGCCTTTTTTTCTTGCATTTCATTTAAACTTATTGGATTGAATTAAATCTACTTCGCCGCAGCGCATAAACCACAATAGAATAAATGCATTCTTTAAAATTCACTCAAATATTTGTTTACCATAGCGACACTCTGGCGCTAGATTCACTTAACAGTATTATATTTCGTTCATATTATAACTCATAATGCACAAAATTTATATCATTTAAAAAATAGAATTATCTAATCGTTGCCACATGTTCTATTCAAATACTATAATAAAGCTAGAACGATGTATAAAAGAAATTAAGCAAACAAAACAAAAAAGAAACAGTTTCGAATAAAACAGACGGTCTCCCGGCACAACTAAAGACTGCGAAAAACATCCCATCACAAATTATGAAAAATGGAACAAAATGTGATCTGTGTTTTTTCAGTTTTCTGTTTCATATTTATTCGCATATAGCTTTGATGTTTTTCTTTCATATTTTACGTTTGAGTTTCACTGCGAATTGGGGAGACCATATGGAAATTTTTCACTGCAAATCCTATTGTTTTGACCATTTACATAATTATCTAAACGATGAAAAGAAAAACGATTCTTTGCTTCCCTGGAGAACAAGCTGCTCATCTGCTGGTGGAAATAGCTCATGTTTTATGGAATGAGAATCAATGGATTAAGTATTATAACGAATATTTTGTATTGTAAACAAGTATATACATTTTTATCACGTTATAGTTCATAAGCTGATTCGAATAAAGCAGATTTTTGTGTTGTGACCTATCTCATTTGTCTGACAGTAACATCAGAAATAAGCCCACGAAATTCACGGTTGCAAGGAGTACAAGATTGTGTCTGCCGTTGGCAACAGCTTTGAGCACCATAGAGGTACGTGTACGACTTCGCTCAGTTCCGGCCCCAATTTTGAAGGAATGTTCCCCTACTACCAACCCCTGTATTGCCTTATCACCAACCTCTCGAGAGGACTTTCAGCTCGCCGCATGTTTAGAGTGCTCCATGACGCACAGACACTATACATTTACAAACATCCATGCCTTCTCAGGGATTCGAACCCGGCCCTTCGGTACGGCAGTCAGCGTCGTTAACCAGTATCCCGGTCAGATGGCACTAGTGAAATATACTTGTCGGAATACTGCCTGAAATATTGTACCTGTCGTTGGCAATAGCTTTGGTGACCATAGAGGTGACAGTACGTTTTTGCTCAGTTCCGCCATAATTTTGATGGAGAGCACCTCGTGGGGGACGGGTCTGAGGGTGTCCCGCCCCCCTTACCCTGCCACCAACCGCTCGAGAGGACTTTTGGCTAGCCCCCGAAATTCATCTTGGCAACGAGTGCAGGATTCCTCCAGTCATTGGCAAGAGTCTTGAACACCATACAATTAAGAGTCCGACTTCGCTCAGCTCCGCCTTCAAGTCTGAAGATGAGCATCCCGATGGAATGAATTCAAGGGTTTCCCATCTCTCATCACCAACCTTTCAAGAGTACCTTCGGTTATCCGCATATTTATAGTGTCCCCATGCCGCACTGACACTATACATTTGCAAACATCCTTGCTTTTTCCGGGATTCGAACCCGGCACTTCTATGCGGTAGTCAGCGACGTTAAACCGGCTATACCGCAACCACTATACAGGCTAAATGACAGATTTAGATTTGATTACATCGTTAGTAATTTTCCGTTTTCAAACTCATTTAAAATTTTGTAAACCTTTTTCAAGTAGTATACAAAATGTTTTGTGTTGATTATAAATTTCTAGAGTGCATCTGCCTTAACTGAAATTGATCATGAAAACCTGCCACTTGAGAACCTCCTCTGCTGGCAAAAGAAACTGCATTTCACATAAGTATTTCTTGCATTATTTCATCTCCGAGGAAACGGTATAGTGTGATGGAAAATAAGCATTTTTTGGTGAGATGCAGCTTCAGTAAAGATGTAACGTTATTTATTATTTCAAATATAGTAGTTAGCCTTATGTGCAATAAAAACAGGAATTATTCTGTTAAAAATTTCTTTTGCAAGAAAAGGAACACAACAATACCACATTTTTGACGCAGCAAATGATGAAGAAGCAATTTCATGTGCTAAAGACATATATTAAAATTGAGTTCCGCGTATACTAAAAACACCCTCAATTATTGAATATCAGTTACAATTTCAGAAGAATATCAAAACATTGATCAATTAGAATGGCTATCATCTTGCTGGAAAATCAATTAAATATCATATAAATTTTAAAGAATTCCAGAAACTGCAAACAAACTTTATGCAACTCTTACGATAGAAAATAATCGTAATATTGAAAACTGTTTTCTTACCTACGGCTGTTCCTATTTCTCCATCAGGATTAGCCCATTCCAGGAAAGGCACGGGGGCTAACCCGAGTGGGAAAGAGGCTTTGCCTCCGAGAAACTTCTGTCCAATGTCTCTGCTTCCTACACCCCTCATGACGCGGGGACGGAGTTTGTACCTATAAAAATTTCAGAATCTTTTTTGAGAACTTGAAGTAAAACTAAGATCAAAAAGGCATATCATCGACGTATAAGAGTCACACACAAATTGTAAGAGCATATACAGAATTTCATTGCGCTGGTAATTTTTTTATATATACTTTCTATTTAGTGTTAAACATATAATAATGAGCTGTAAAATTATTATGTAACCTAAGATCAAAATTATCTATACAATAATTATATATCGTGCCATTATAATAATCTATATAATAAGAAAATTTATCATTTAGCCCAAAGGGGCAGTAACCCAGAAGGGCTATTAGCCTCAAAGCTGCATTTTGTGGCGTTTCACTATTAAACGGCAAATGAGCAGCCGGATGGAACTTGTGGCCCAACATTTTCACCATTTGAGAATTTTATGTTATGACGGTAATTGTCTTCTTCAGTAACATTTGTCCATAATGTTTCATCATTTCCAACAAACTGCCTATTTTTATATGTAGAAATAGATGGTTGCTCATAAGTCGTCTTCTTCTAATAATAATTTCTTCGTCAAAATCGGTCGCAGTTTGAAAAGGAACGGAAAACAATAGCTCAGACGCCTTTGTAAAATTTATACCATCTTCCAATAATTCAAGTTCATTATCTATTTGAGTCATACATTCGTCATCACTACTTTCATATTCATTAGTGAATGATTGTTTTCTCTTGATTCAAGGCATCTATATTTTTATACTTATTAGCACATAAAATAAATATAGCAGTTCAATTATTATTCTTTTAATTAAAACACATGTTTTTATGTAAAAAAAATATCAAAGACGACAAAAAATACGATTTTTCTCTAAAGCGTTGGGAACTTGCTTTCTTGAAGACAGCACTACTGTGGCAAGGTCACGCAGATTTTCCTTATCTCGTCCTCCAAGGATATACTTCCCAGGCAAAGGGACTCTTGAATGGGGTTTGGAATGCGATTTGGATATTGCAACTGTACTGTTTCTTACCCGAGGGAATATTCTCGCTATGATTCAGCATATGACAAGCGACGGGGAAGTCGAGGTTTGGACATCGTGAAGCGAGGTTGTTTCAAGAGAGTGTAGCCGAATACCTCAGTGAGTGTGTACGGGAGTTCGAAATTATCGTCTGCACGTTCAACGAGCCGACTTTTCCAAGCTAGAAGACCGTATGTCCATCGGCAATACTGAAGATAGCATTGTTCTACTTGGAGTATTTTGTCGCGCTAGGAGATTTAGCACGGACTAATCTTACCGAATATGCTGTTGTTTTAGCACAGTACATTTGCATTAAGTATTATCCACATACCAGATTGATGTAATCTTACGTTCTTACATTTATATTTTTATTAAAATTCTCGCTATTGTTTTATAACTTGAGCTTGGTGTCATTTCAACCCTGAAGTACAACAGAGGCTTTGGGTAGAGTGTTCGACCTCTACAACACACTACAAATGACTCTTTTAATCCTAATGTAAAAATAATACTAAAAAGAATTTAAGATAATATAAACTGGTCAAATATGATAAATTTAGTCTTTATTTAGATAGTACAAAAAATCTGAAAGAAAAAAGAAGACAGTTTTAGATATTTTCAATTATTTTAGAAATTACCATGTATAATGTCGAGTCTAGATCGACAAAGGAGTTGGTGTAAGAAATACGATGTCGAGTCCCATTCGACATAGGAGTCCTAAGGTGTTAATTAATTCGTAATTATAGAATTATTTGTTAAGGGCGAAATATCTAAAGGTTTTCACATTGTTTTTAAAAATTACATCCTTTTAGCGTTAATCATTTTCATTAATCATTCCTTAACATTTTTCTCTTTTAAAATCGTGTATAATAGTCGTAAATTTATTTCTATTAGCCACGATTTCTGGTGAAATCAAGATGGCCGCCCTTTTTGAAACACGGAGTTTCGTCGCAAATCTCGATGGTAACCATTTTTCAAAACAACGTATTTCACGCGCTTTTGCGCCAAAAAAAATTTCGCCAAACTTTGAAGGTGGGCTATACTGAAGCTGTTCCATTTGTTCTTTCTGAAAATGTCTTCTTGTATCAGTTTTTCATTTACGACAAGGCGATTATCTTAATATTGTGCCAAGTGTTTTCCTGAGCATCACATGAGTTTTAGCATGATAATTCTTCGTCAGCAGGAATTAAATTTTATTACGTAAATCATTTGCTTTGTTGACTATAACAAATATTCTGCCATTTCTAATTATTTTTGCTCGCGAGGAAAGACACTACGGGAATTCTGCCTGTAGCGTTTTAAGAAAATATTGAATAAATCATTAGTGTTATGTTTTCGGAAATTATTGAGTATAAAAATATTTTGATGTAATCAGAATTGTAGCTTAATATTTGCACTAACCTTGAATATGCATCGTCATTGTCCCTAGTAGTTGTCATGTTATCGGATCCAAAGCTGAAAAATGCTCTTCTGACGTCATCCACCTCTCGACGAACATATTCTTCAAAATCTCGGACACTGACGAAATCCTGGTACCTCCTATAATTGAACCTAAAAAGGAAAAGAAATATTACTCAGCAGACCGATTGTTAAAGAAACAACATGCGACAATTGAAAAGAATATTTACAATTATATTTAATTCTTCACATTTCAAACAAAGAATAACATTTTGCTCTAAAGAATATGCGAAATTATTTATATTAGCCTCAATAGCAATATAATAACCTCAATAGCAATATAATAATTGAGCTAAAAGGTTTATTGCTTTTATCGCAGACTTATTTTTAAATAAAAACTAAGGCTTGGAATCTCAGAAGAACTAATATGCAAATGGACATTCTATTGGGTCATATAAAAAGTATCCGCGTTTTTTGCCACTAGATTGTGTTGATGCCTATATATCCAGCAACTCTCACTCGATTGTCTCAAACGAACACATGTTTAAAAGATAACAATCAGCTTCCATTGTTTGTGAAATTAGTTTTCTAATTCGATGCTCGTGTAAAAAGTTATACTGATTTGAAAATTAGTGAAATATCTGAATAAATACGCTATGTGATGCTTTTTTTAAAAGGTAAAAAGGCTGCAAAAACATGCCGAAAAATTTGTGAAGTGTACAGTGGGGATGCTGTGAGTGAATAAAGGACACAGGAGTGGTTTGCTCGACTCCGTTCCGGAAATTTCGATGTCAAAGATGTACCTCGCTCGGCCAATCACTGAAAAAGGTTCATGAAATTTTGCAACTGGGGGAGCAAGACCGGCACGCAAGCTGTCAGAAAACAGAGGCGGCAACCACATGACAGTTTGGAGTCATTTGAAAAGAGCAGCCTACAAAAAGAAGCTCCGATGTTTGGGTGCCACATGAGAAATTATCCATTATGAGCTGCTACAACCTGGCGAAACCATCAATTCGGCCCTGTACTGCGCACAAGTCGACCGTCTGAACGAAGCAATCGAGATCAGAATTGGCCAACAGAAAGGTTGTGCTCCCTTCATGACAATGCACGGCTTCGCACATCTTTGATGACTCGGAACAAATTGGACGGAACTTCGTTGAAAAGTTTTGATGCATCCACTTTTTACTGTTGATTCTTGAATTATGCACGTTTGCCCAGACTTTGCACCGTCTGAATATCATTGGTTTCGATTTCTGCAAAACACCCTTGATGGCAAAAAATTGGCAGACCAAAGCGCCACTGAAAATCAACTTGGCCAAGTTTTTCGACTATAAACCACAGAAGTTCTGCACCGATGGAATTATGAAGCTACGTGAAAAATGGCAAAAGGCCATAGATAATAATGGTCAATATGTACTTGATTAAAATTAATTTTTAAAACAGAAAAGTTTTGTTAAAATATGTACCAAATATCCGCGGAGACTTTTTATATGGCCCAATATTTACGAACCAATAAGAGGAAAGTTAGTAGAATAATTGATTACTGTACCTTATTACTGTTGATTCTTGAATTACACAGGTAATGTACGTTCTATTTATGGATCAATAGGAGGAAAATTAGTAGAATAACTGCTTAATTGGATCTTAATTACAGTTGAATTCTTCAGTTATGCAGGTAATGAACGTTCTATTTAAGGATCAATAAGAAAATTAGAAGATTTATTAAATGATTATTGAACCTTTTTAATTACTGTTGATTCTTGAATTACGCAGGTAATGAACTTATGGATCAATAAGAGGAAAATTAGTATAATGACCTTTTTACTGTTGATTCTTGAATTACGCACGTTTAAAATAATCGATTTCCTGTAAATGCACGTTTATATCCAAAAATATATTGAAAAATATTTTAGAGATTTAGCAGAGAGAAAAGTACTAAAGAAATTATGTAACAAACAATTGAAAAAAAAAGTTTGTTTCAAACTTGTTTCAATTTATCTTGTTTTTGATAACTAGGCAGTAATAAGGACAACAACAACTCACTAGGTTATTAATTTAACTTCTATGGATAGCCATTAGGTGTTTAAAACAAGTACTTCTGAGATATTTTACACTACAGAAGTTATACAATGATATTATTTTCTAACCAATAAAACAGTATCAGTGTAGGTGTAACTCATCTTATAAACACTACAATGCGTTTAAACACACATATATGTGTTAACTTACACGTAGAGATGGGTAAAACTGTGAACTGGATTAACACTCCTTATTTGTATATGCTTAAAACGAAGTGCGGTTTATGTTAGCAATGAGACGTCTAATTACAGTAGGCTATTAACACCTATAACAACATATGTTCATTATAACGCAAGGTACACGTGTGGTCATTTTGACCTTGTATGCAGTTTTAATATTTTTTTTACTATTTAAAAAACAACGTAAGACAATAAAAAATTAAAGAACATTTAAATTAACAAACAAAGATTACTAAACTGACTGATAATAAATGAATTACAATATTGAAACTTTTACAAAAGCAGAAAACTTGTTGTTACCAAACATTGACATATTATATGCAGTCTGTCTATCATAAGAAAAGCTCTCACCAGTTATTCT